CCCAGACCCTGGCACCCACAGGACTGTCCCCAGACCCAGCCCAGAGGGAAGACCAGGCATGCCGTGCCCTCACACTTTGGAGCGGTCCACGGGCTCCACTTTCCAGAGCCAGTTCTCTGGGAAATAGCTGCGTACGAGAACATCATCTTCATCTATCAGGTCCTCCTCCTGCAGCACGTCCTGGGCTGGGGACAGTAGGGACGGCAGTGAGGAGGGGATGTTTTGCCCTCTCAGGCATCACCACCCATTCCTCAGCTTCACCTGGCCGCTCACCTCGGGCAAGGCCCGCCTGGCTCCTGGTCTGGTTCCTGCGAAGGTCCTCAGCAAACTTGCAACAGGACAGGAAGGGCTCCCGGCAGGCCAGCTGAGGCACGCGCGCTGCCCGCTGCTCACAGGTGCGCGCCATGGGCAACCTTGTCATCCCATCTTGGCAGCAGCGCTTGGTGTCTGGAGAAGAATACTGGCCCACTGCCAGGCCCAGGGAGGCTAGGCAGTTGGAGGGACTGAAACCTCAGCCCCATCAACCCCTAGAACCACCAACACATGTTTGAAGAACGGTCAGCAGGCCAATGGGCGGCACCAGCCAGCCTCTACCTTCAGCCCTTGGCTTCCTCGCCCTTGACACCACAACTGGCTGAGGGGCTGCAGAGGACAGAGAAGCGGATCCCACCCTGGCCCTGGACATGGCTCCCAGCATTCCATGAGCACCGGCAACATACACTTCTCGCTGATAGCCTTCTGGAAGTTAACACTTCTCTTTTGCCGACTTTTCTTCTTGGGACAGCTCAGGCCTGGTAGAGGGCAAGAGAACAGTCAAGCCACGGGGAGCTCAGCCTCCCTTCTTCCTAATCCTCAGCCCAGCCTTCTGCTCCTGAATCTGCCACACACACACACACACACACACACACACATACACACAGAGAGACATATAGAGACACACACAGAGAGACATACAGACATATACACACAGACATACACAGAGACATACAGACATATACACACAGACACACACAGAGACACACAGACATACACACAGACACAAACACACAGACTCACACACAAACAGATACACACAAACACACACACGTACACACACCCAGACACACACACAGAAATACAGACACACACACACAGACATATAGACATACACACACAGACACACATACTCATACACTTACACAGACACATATACACAGACCCACACAGACACACACAGAGACATACAGAGACACACAGACACACACACACACAGAGACACACAAACACACACAGACACATATACTCATACACTTACAGAGACATACAGAGACACACAGACACACAAACACATACACAGACATACAGACACACACACACAGACACACACAAACACACACAGACACACACACACACACAGCCTTCCCTCCTTTGCTCCCACTGGCTCTTACCCTCTTTGGTTTGAGTTAGTCGATCACCATCAGAAAAGGCCAGGCCAGCAGCCTGGAACACCTGAAGGGCATCGTCCCCACCTCCAGGACCACAGCCAAGGTTGTAGCTGTTCATTACTTCAAAGACCTAGCAGGATAAGGCAAGAGATGCTAGGACACGAGTGACCCTGCTCCTCAGCTGAGGGTAGGTTCGAAGATGAGAGACGGGAGTGGGGAGACCAAAGACATCCAGGACCCAAGGGAAGACTGGGAAGAGCCTATAGGGACTGAGACCAGAGAACTAAGTCCCAGAGCTTAAGAGAGGAGGAGGGGGAGGAGGAGGAGGAGGAGGAAGGAAGGGGAGGAGGGAGGAGGAGGGGGAGGAGGAGGAGGAAGAGGGGAAGGAGGGGGAGGAGAAGGAGGAGGAAGGAAGGGGAGGAGGGAGGAGGAGGAGGAGGAGGAGGAGGAAGAGGGGAAGAAGGAGGAGGAGGGGGAGGAGGGAAGGGAGGAGGAGGAGGGGGAAGAAGAATAAGAGGAGAAGAATGCATGGAGAAGGTTAGACAAACCTTGCTCATGTCGAGGGGTTTGTGAGACCGGCCACCCACAGCGTACAGAGCCGTGTCCACAGCTCCCAGTGCCACTAGGGCTTGGGAGTCGGTCTGAACCTGGAGCTTTATGCTGCCCCCGCTACGATACTCCTTGGGACCATCCACCTTCAATTTCAGCTGCCAGAAACGGGGAGAAAAGGACAATCAGCACACGGAGTGTGCGCGGGGACACAGGTCAGTAGTTAAGTGCCACATCCAAGCGTGAGGACTGAACCCCCAGAATCCAGGTGGGCACCAGGGCATGCCTGTGATTCCAGCCTGGAAAGGCGGAGACAGAGGGATCCCCCAGAGCAAGGTGGTTAGCAAGACGAGGCTTATCAGTGAACTCTAGGCTTGACTGAAAGAAACGGCCCCAGTGACTACGGCCAAAGAGCGAGTCACATGATCTCCGTGTCTCTACAAGCATGTGCACACGTGCATGTGAATCTGTGCAGTATGCAAACTATGCATACACACATGCCCACCTCCCATCCACGAAGATGAAAGAAGAGTGAATTCTCACCTCCAGCCCCAGGCACACTCAATGGCTAAACCAATCATCCTGTCCCCCTCAGAGCCTCTGGATGCACATGCACACTCGAATATGCGCACACACACAGAAGCACAGGCAAGCACACATGCATTCGAGCACACACATGCATACACATATGCAAGGGAACATGCAAATGAACATGTACATACATGCACATGCAAGCACACACACAGGCAAGCAGACATGCATGCACCCCACACACATGCAAACACACATGCATTTGAGCACACACATGCAAATGAACATGCACACATGCAAATGAACATGCACACACACATTCGCACATGCAAGCACACATGTATTTAAGCAATCACACCCTCATGTGTGTGTGCAAATACACGTGCAAATGAATATGCACACACACATGCACGTACATACATGAGCGCACATGCACGCACACACACAGCCCGCACCACCTCTCCAGACCCAGTCACCTGGCCCTCACAGTCCCCGGGCTGGATGTGGATGAGCAGGGAGTTGGCCACAGGGAGTCCTTGGTGATAGAAGTAGGCCACAAAGTAGAAAGAGGGTGCCAGGTGATGGCCCACCAACACGGAGACAGAGGTCAGGGTCCTCCTGGGCTCCCGACTCATAGCCACGATCTGGCCTCTGGAGATGATCTGAGCCGGGGGGTGAGGGAGGTAATGAGTGGCTTCCTGCTTGGTATTCACCCTGCCCCCCGTCCTACACCCAGCACTCCTGTACCCCGGGTCCCACATACCATGTAGTAGTAATGAGAGAAGGTAGGCTCACGGATGCCCACGGTTCGAAGGTTCAGGATAAAGGTATCCCCCACACGAGGGGACCGAAAGTCTTGTGGCTCAATGGACAGAAAGCCACCGCTTCTTGAAGGTGGGGCTTGCACAGTGAGCCTGGCCACAGCCGGGTGGAGGGAGCCCGCAGACACCTAGAGAGAAGGCACAAAGGGCAGGGTCTATGCCAAGGACCCAAATACGCCATCTCTTCTGCCAAACTCCACCAGAAGCACTCAGGAAACAGCTCGTGCATCCACCCTGTCCCCAGGCCCATCCCCGGGCCTCAGAGCAGCACTACCAAGAGCCGAAGTTCTGTGACAGTCTGCGGGATGTTGATGGAGATGCTGACTTGGCCAGCTCCATTGGTGTTCTGTTGAAAGTCATCGAGGGCTTGCGAGTCAGAGCCGGACACCAATATGGCAGAGACTTTGACAGGAACGGCAGAGGCTTCAGAGCCTGATACATCTCGGACCAGGGCCTGGAGGAGACGGTCAGAAAGAGGTGTCATCAAGACTGTGTGGCCCACACCCTCTCCCCTCCAGCCCTGCCCTTCCAAGAGGAACCTGCAGCAGGAAGGGGGCCCCAGGCACAAGATGCTTCTTGGTGTGGCTGAGATCCAAGGAGAGGGCAGATGACACAAAGCGCCAAGATGTCAGCTCTGCCTCCTCCATCTCTCCCCCTGCAAGACAGAGGGCAGAGAGGTGGAGGGCAGAGCCCAGGAAAAAGGAGACAAGAGCCTGTCTGTGCATCGCTTCATCTGTACAGGAGTGCATGGCGTATCTATCAGAGAGTGAACCAGGAGGAGAGTGGTTTGGAACAGTTAAATAAAAGAAGACAGGAAACGGCAGGACCGCACTGGGGTGAGACCGTCTCCTGGGTCTCCTGGGTCTCCTGGGTCTGTGCTGGTCCTGAGCCTGAGAGGTGGCAGAGGTGTGGAGCTGCACTGGACGGCGAGGACGAGGAGCTGGCGGGTGTGTCATTTGTGTTTTTAAACTGCCTCCCCCTCAGAGTCCTCAGGAGCAAGGGCTGAAGTGCCAGCAGAGGGAAGCCACCCACCTGGAGACTCGATGATGGCCGCGGCAGCATAGAGACGCAGCCCCTCCAGGTCTCTGATCCCAATATTGGCTTTATCCAGGGCAGCCTGGAACTGGTCCTTTGAGATGGAAACGTGAGTCTGGCCTTCCACCAACTAAGACAAAGTAAAAAGGCCGTGAGTGGGGCCGGAGTCCTCACTTCCCCTCGTCACCCCCTTGTCAGTCACCTCCTTGACCGCTACCTTACCTTGGTCTGGGTCTCTAGGCCCCGAAGGAAAGTCCTCTTCCCCTGCTCATCTATGAGTGCAAAGCGTGTGTATGCCACGCCCTGCACAGGCTTCCCGTAGACGTACCTGTTGCCATGGGGAGATGGGAGGAGAGCTAAGGGCTGGGGTGATAACTCAGTCGGTAAAATGTTAACCACTCAACCACAAAGACCTGAGTTCGATGCCCCAGGGTCCCTGTAGAAATGCCTGGAGGTGTGGCAGCACCCATTTGTATCCCAGCAGTGGGAGCATAGAGACAGAAGGGTTCTGAGGGCCAGCCAGCTTAGCCCAGTCAGTGAGTTCCACGGCAATGAGAGAATGTATCTCCAAGGAGATACCTGAGGCTGTTCTCTGGCCTCCACAAACATACACACACATGCCCCCACACACAGACACACGCGTGCACGCCTCCAATCCCAGCACGCAAGAGCAGAGGCAGATGGTTCTCCGTGGGTTCAAAGCCAGACGTGACTACACACATGGTGAGTGTACAGTTGGCGTGAGACTCCGCCTCAAAGAAACCTCAAATAAAAGAGGAAGAGGAGGAGAGCCAAGGGTGGGAGGAAGCTGGGCTTTGCAAAAGACTGGCGGGGGAGGGCGGCATAGGTGGGTGGGTACCTGGCCTGGATGTCTAATTGGATATCATCACGGTCGGTGGGCACTGTCAGGATATATGGCTTCCAAGGAGTAATCTTCACTTCAAAGTTGGGAAGGACTGAATAAGGGTGAGGAGATGGGCAGGTCAGGCACTAGAGACAGGGTGCTCCATAACGTCCTCACCGAGGGCTGCCCAGCTCACTCCCTTGTCTCACCCCGTATGTCAGCGCTTACCGTATTTCTTCACTTCAAAGTAGGTGCTTCTATTGGACTCCAGGCCGTCTGTGAACCTAGCTGAAATCTTCCAGGTTCCGGGCCTGAGAATGGACAACCAAAGGAGTTGAGCTACCCACCCACAGACAGCCATGGCCCGAGTGAGTCCAGGCTATCCACCCACAGACAACTATGGTCTGAGTGAGTCCAGGCTACCCACCCACAGACAACTATGGTCTGAGTGACTCCAGAAGAAAGTCATGGTTTGAGCAGAGGTTTGGGAGGGGTAGAGTCAGAACATCTGGAGCGTGCCTCTGCCTGTCAGAGGTGGTAGACAGTGCTAAGGGAAGCAGGACTTGGGGTGGTACAGATCGAGGGGTACCCTGAGGTGGGGGAGCTCACTCTGAGATGTCTGGAATGATGAAGCTATCTTGGATGATGGATGTGGAAAGAGATGCCACCTTCTTGTGTACACGGAGGCCATGGGAGTTCTGCAAGGGGAGTCGATGTGGTCAGGTGGGAAGTCACATCAGTGTACACAGGTCGGGAAGGTCAGAGGTCAGACACTCACCTCCACTGTGACCGTGAGGGAGTCAGTGGATGGGCGCATCTTTTGATCCAGTGCAAAGACCCGATAACGAACTAAGAGAAAGATGGGGGTAGGTGAGAGGTGAGTGAGTGTCCTGGGCAAAGGGACTGGGGCAGCTTAGGGGAGACAATGGGGACTGAACAGCTAAGCAAGCCTCCAGGGTGGCCCTGTCTGTGAAGTCGCCTTAGTGTTCTAAGCTGCCTGAGAGTGGCAGAGCAAAGGCCCTGAGGCTGGAGGCTCACCCTGCTGCCCAGGGTTATAGATAGGCTGATCGGTCTGCACAAAGATGTGGCCTCGTCGGGAAGAGAAGAGCAGGTTGACACCCTGAGTCTCTGTGGCTTTAGATGCTATGTTCCTTAGCCATGGAGACTGGGCCACCAGCTGGATGTGGGGGGCTCTGAGCAGGTTAAAGAGGCCACACCTCCTCACGTTTTCCAGTGGAACCTGTCGAGAGAGAAGGAGACTATCAGACAGAGCAAAAAGAACCCAACATGGAGCCCGAGGTAGGGACAGCAAGGCCGTTGTGCCGGAGGAGAGAGTCAGTGAGGGAGATGGGACTTTAAAAAGCAACAGAAGGGCCAGGCACAATGGCACCCGGCTGTAATCCCAACACTTGGGAGGCCCATAATAGGAACACTGAGTGATTACAGGCAATGTAGGCTACACCCTGAAACCCTGTCTCAAAAACAAAACTAAACAATAAAATAAAACAAAAAGGCAACAGGCAAACCAGGTGTATTTGGAAATCTTAGCACTTCAGAAGCTGAGGCAAGAGGACAGCCATGAGTTCAAAGCCAGCCTATGTCACATAGCAAGCTCCTGTCTGTAACTAAATAGACAGACAACGGGGTGCAGCAGAGAGGCCTGAGAAACAGCAGGGGTGTGGGCACTGGTTACCTCAAGGCTGAGAAGCACCAAGTCATTCCCCGAGCTGAGCTTAAAGTCCTTCTTTGGGGAACAGTCACCACCTGTTGGGTTTCTGAGGAACACTGATCCTTTTATCTCCTGTCCTGGAGGGGCATCCAGGAGCTGCACCCCCACTGACAGGGGCGTCCCCAAATTAACCACAGAAGGGGAGAACAGGAGCAACCTAGGAGAGCAACGAGGGGCATCTTCAGACCCAGCCTAACCCCACCACCCCGCTCTCTCACCCTTGGCCAACCCAAACGCCAGTGTCTTCCCCAGGACCTGGGCTTCTGCAGAGATGAGGCAAAGAAGCTGACCATCCAGACCAGCCCGCAGAGGAGCCGCATGACTGGGGGATCCAGGAGAGGTCCGACCTGTCTGGTCTGACCGTCTGCTCCCTTCTGGTCAACCTAGGGTTGGGGCAGAATTTGACTCTGGACCTCGCCCCTCCTCTTGCCCCATGAGCCGGGAAACCACGTGATGGCCAAGAAACGCAACTGGCCCTAGGCCCAGAGCTGGGGAGGCAGCCCAAACATCAGGGTCTCTGAAGAAATCTTGGCCCCAAAATGGATCTTGTGCTTCCTTGTTTATTCCCAGTACCAGGTACCTCCCTTAACTCTCTGTGTGTGTGTGTGTGTGTGTGTGTGTGTGTGTGTGTGTGTGTTTGCCCATGTGCGAGTGTAGACAGCTCCAACATGGCACGAGGACAGGACAGGTAAAGTTCCTAACAGAACGAGAACGGGGTCCCCAGACTGACCCTTGCCTCACATTCAGGACGTCCCTCTGCTTGGTATAGGCTCTAGCAGAAAGCCTGTAGTTCAGAGGACGGGGTACACCCTCGTCCCCACAGGGAAACTGGCCTGAGTAAGCCGTGTTCTCTCTCTAAACTATGATGAAATGCTCAGCCCCAGGTTGGGCTTCACCCTCTTCACAGACAGCCGTATGCACACCACACCGAACAAAGGACACCGGAAGAAGCACAGCACAAGTATTTTATTTGGCAACTTCAGCCTGACACGAAGGGCAGAGTCTTCTGCACCCTGTTCCAGTGTCTCCAGCAATCCCACTGTCTCATCCCCTTGGCACGGCTCCTGGCTCCACACCCACAGAAGCAAGCGCTGCAGCGCCCACAGCCCAGCTCAGGTGGGAGCCCCAGCTTGCAGCAGCAGAGCCTGGCACCCACTGCGGTGACTTGTTCAGCCACCCTGTGGTGGCACTTCCAGGAACCTCACTCAGTGAGCTGCAGAATCCAAGAGTTGGCTCCTCACGTATCTGGCAGGCGAAGGAGGGTTCCAGAAGTGGTAGGGACACTGTGTAACAGAAAGACAAGACTGGAGCCAGCTGCCTAGGCCCGAAGTGTGCAGACTCAGAATTGAGTGGTGTCCCCCGAGTCCCGGGGAGAATGAGAGGAACTGGCTTCACTGCTGACTGAGGCATGACTCAGGGGAAGCCAACCCTGGGTCCCTGCAGTTTTCCCAAGTCTCAGGACTAGACTCACCAGTCCACCAGCTGGGCTCCAATGAGGTCATGCACGTGGTAGGCAAGACCCAGCCGCACTGCTGAAGGGGCCCTGCGGCCCAGGAGCTCTGACAGGGCAAGCTCCCGGTACTTGGCCTTCCGCACCATGCTCAGTACAGCCTGGCGTCCTGGAGGAGGAGGTCCAGGAAAAGGAAGAGGTGAGTCAAACTTGAAGACCTGAAGACCCCCAAAGGGTCCTCCTGAGGTACCATACCTTTAACAAAGCACTTAATGAATCTCCCAGCTCCAGGCACAGCCAACCACCAGCTTCCAGCGTCACGGACAGTGAGGACCCCAGCATTCACCAGATGCCTGCAGGCGGGAGGCGGCCATGACGACGCAGCCTGGGCTCTGAGACCCCTCCCTTCCTTTCTCAGTGGTTGACCTGTGGACACTGAGCTTCCAGAAACACAGGCAACCCAAGCAGGGATCCACTCACTCTGCTGGCTCTACCACTGCTGCCTGGGTGTCCTTCTGTATTTTCTCTGTAAGTGTGTGTGTGTGTGTGTGTGTGTGTGTGTGTGTGTGTGTGTGTGTAGTATACTGTGTGGGCAGGGACACAAGCATGTAGAGGCTACAGGTTTACATTAAGTATGCGCAATAACTGACCTTCTAAAAAGTCATTTTTACGTGTATTTGTGCTTTGATTACATGTTTACCACAGGCATGCAGTGTCTGTGGTGGCCAGAGAGGGTACTGGATCCACTGAAACTGGAATTATAGACTGTTGAAGAGCCATTTTGTGGGTGCTGGGAATTGAGCGTGGGTCCTCTGGAAGAGCAGCCAGTGCTCTTAAACACTGGGCTATTTTTTCCCTTCTATTTTTCGAGACAGGGTTTCTCTGTGTAGCCCTGGCTATCCTGGATCCTGCTCTGTAGACGAGGCTGGGCAAGCACAGCCCTGAAATGTGTCTGAGGAGTGAGGGTCATGACCTCATAGGTCTGGGCTTACCATGACGGATGAACTCTCCTCTCAGCCCTGCTACTTCCCAGGGGAGATCAGTGATGTCATACACCGCAAGTTAGAACGCAGGAGCCCAGGCTGGACCCCAAACCCATCTGTACTAAGACCTTGCCTAATACTTTCTCTTTACAGGGGACCCTGTGAACTTGGATCTTTAGGGACCCTCTAGGGACTCCTGCAGGCTGGAGAATGTTTCACTTGACTAAACAGAAACCCAGCTCACTCAGAAGGAAAAGCGCTGCCAGAGACCTGACCCCGACCCCTGACCCCTGACCCCAGCACATCTCACGTGATCTCCGGGTCCCTGAAGCCGTAAGTCTGTGTCATCTGGTCCTGCTGGAAACTAAGGTCCCCACAGGCTGGGAACACTGAGGCCAGGAACTTCTGAACCGCCCCAGCACATGGTCGGCCGTCGCAGGCCTTGAGGACCTAGAACCAGAGTTGATGTCGGTGGCCAGCATGGGCCCATCCCCCACCATGGCTCTCTATCTCTGACTCCCCTCTCCCTGGGTGCTTCCACTTCCCTCTTTTCCCTGCTTTCTTCTTCCCTCCCCCACACTTCCTCCTCTCCTCCCCCATCTCACTAATTACCAGAGCTCTGTGCCCCGAGTGACATGTGGGCTACAGATAATGTTCCTTTTGTCAGTTATTTCTATGCCCACCACACTTGTCCCCTCCCCACTCCACCCCCTCTCTCACCCCCACCCCACCCCCTCTCTTACCCCCACCCCTGTCCCCCCCTCTCACACACCCTGGTCCTGTAGTCTTCCGTGAAGACAATCCCATGGGCATCCAAGTCAAAGCCTAGCTGGATGATTCTGATCTCTCCCCGCTCTTGAAGCTCCTTCTGTCTCCACAGAGATGATGGTGGAAAGAGAAAGACAGGGTAAGACAAGCAGCCATGTTCTGAGCCCTAGGGTACAGGGTCTGATTGCCAGTGTGTGTGTGTGGGGGGGGGGGTGGCGGGATTAGGACAGTAACCATGGAGACACTCAGGTGACCGACAGACAGCTGCTTCCATCCAGTCACCTGCCTCCCACACGCCTTATGAGCTGCGGGTCAATCAATATACATATTTTCTTTTCTTTTTTTTTTTTTTAAGATTTATTTATTTATTTTATTTATGAGTACACTGTCGCTGTCTTTGGACACACCAGAATAGGGCATCCAGTCTCATTATGAATGGTTGTGAGCCACCATGTGGTTGCTGGGATTTGAACTCAGGACCTCTGGAAGAGCAGTCAGTGCTCTTAACCGCTGAGCCATCTCTCCAGCCCCAATATACATATTTTCTAAGAGCAGACTTATCAGTCACTACAATTAAACAGTGATGCAGGGTATGCCTTTAATCCCTGCACTTGGGAGGCAAAAGCAGCCTGGTCTACTGGCTAGCCAGGGCTACACAGCGAGAGCTTGTTTCTAAGGGAAAAGACAGACAGTGATGGAGACAAGGCCTGCCCCCTAGGACGCATCAGTCTAGATTCTGGGTGGAGGTGTGTGAGAAGCACTGGATAAATACTTAAATAAAAATGGTGCCGGCTGTGATAGCACATGCCTGTACTCAGTACTAGACAGGGGAAGGCAGACCTTTGAGTCTGTGGCCACCCTAGGCTGTAAGATCCTGCCTAAACGCCAAGCAAACAAACAAGAAGTAAACACAAGCAACAAACCTAAACAAGCTACCCAGGACTTCTGTGGGCAGCAACACAACAAAAGCCAGAGTAGGTAAAGACACTTCACCAATCTGACCACCTCAGCTCAGGCCCCGGGACACACATGCACTGTGGAATGTCTACCTGCTCACACACGCACATAAAACACATTCTGTTTAAAAAAATCTTTTTAAGGGGCTGGAGAGATGGCTCAGCAGTTAAGAGACTGACTGCTCTTCCAGAGGATGCTGGTTCGATTCCTGACACCCACATGGCAGCTCACAACTGTCTGTAACTCCAGTTTCCAGAGATCTGACCCTGTTCTGGTCTCTGAAGGCACCAGGCATGTAGTGAGTGCATGGACATACATGTAAGCAGAACATCCATACACATAAAAAACGAGTCTTTTTTAAAAAGTTTTTTTTTTTTTTTTTTTTTTTTGGTTTTTCGAGACAGGGTTTCTCTGCATAGCCCTGGCTGTCCTGGAACTCACTTGGTAGACCAGGCTGGCCTCGAACTCAGAAATCCGCCTGCCTCTGCCTCCCAAGTGCTGGGATTAAAGGCGTGCGCCACCACCGCCCGGCCTTAAAAAGTTTTTAATTGTTTAAATAGGTGTGCATGGTGGCTTCCACTTCTAATCACAGCACTCTGGAGGCAGAGCCAGGGGATCTGTGAGTTCAAGGCCAACCTGGCCTACAGAGTGAAGTTCCAGGGCACCCAGATCTACAAAATGAGGCCCCGTCTCAAAACAACAAAAAAAAAATTTTTTTTTGCTCAAACATTAAAAAGCTCACAGGAGCCGGGCGGTGGTGGCGCACGCCTTTAATCCCAGCACTTGGGAGGCAGAGGCAGGAGGATTTCTGAGTTCGAGGCCAGCCTGGTCTACAGAGTGAGTTCCAGGACAGCCCGGGCTACACAGAGAAACCCTGTCTCGAAAAACCAAAAAAAAAAAAAAAAAAAAAAAAAAGCTCACAGGATCACAAGAATTACCAAACAGATATAGTAAAGCAAACAAAAACTCAGAGAGAGAAAAAACCAGGGAGGGGCATTTGCTGATCTGAGCAAATCTGCCCAGCACACGACCAAAAATAACAGGGCACACAGAAAGCAAAGCTCAGAAGTCATGCGGTCCAGGGCTGCATCTTTAGTCATACCAGAATGGCCACCAGGAGGAAAGCACTCCTCCCCAGGGAAGAGCGGAGGGTGCCCACACGTCAAATTACTTTGGATTCTGTTTTATTTTGCTTTTTGAGACACGGTTTCTCTGTCTCCCACAC